ATGTATACTTACTAATACATTATATAGTAGTATTAAATATAGTTCATCTCTCTAACTAAAAATTACTAGTTCATAATAGTTGGGTTAAATGCAAATTACTGTAAAAACAAATAAATGTAAGAGATAAGATTAGAAATCAACAACATAAATGATTGAATTTGAAAAAAGAAGTGGAGCAGGACATTGACAAAAAGGGTGCTTCTCTCTTCTTTGTTGGCAGCACATATGGAAAAAAAAAAAAAAAATCCAAGAAATGCTTTAACAATTGACCGTTTGTGGATTAAACGGTTCAAATAGACGACCAAGGCAACTCCGTCAGAAAAAGGGTGACAACGAACAAAATAATTGGAGTACAGGGACGACACTTAGTGCTTTTGGTGAAGTAGAGGGATGACAATGAACAAAACCTTAGTAGAGGGATGGACATGAATAAAAATTAAAAGTAGAGGGACAGTGGTTGGCTTTAACCCGTCAAAAAAACATGCCAAGGTTGTCCCTTTGTCCAATGTCAGCTAACGACATGATTTATTAACCGTTAAATTTAAACGGTCAAGTTGGTCACACTGGTTAAGGCTTTTTTAATCATTTTCCTTTGATCAAAATGACAAGTGAATATCAACACGGTATTTCTCAAATAATTATATATTTTAGGTAAGCTTGGATTGCATTAGTATAATAAAAAGTCTTTTAAATTTAGGTTAAATCCTCATTTTAGTCCCTAAAGTATTGTATGAACCCTTCATTTGGTCCTCACTGTTTATAATTTGACCTAAGTTAGTCCTTGAACTATTATACGAACTCCCAATTTGGTCCTTACTGTTTACAATTTTACCCCATTTTGGTCCATAAGCTATTATTTAACAGAAGAATCAAGTTGGGACTAAATTGGTAAACAGTATGGACCAAATTACGGATCCGTATAATAATTTAGGGACTAATTCAGATATCTGTACAATAGTTTAGGGACCAACTCAGGAATCCATACAATAGTTTAAGTATCAAATTAAAAGCCCGTACAATAGTTCAGAAACCAAAATAGGGGTTTAACCTTAAATTTAAATCGGAGCCGTCCCTCCTTGCAATTAGGAAACTTTTGCTCTCATGGCCGTATTATTCTAAAAAGATATATGTATGATTAGTATATATAAATTTTGACTCTTAATTTTAATTTAGATATAGAAATTAAAGTCTTAATTTAAAATTTAAAAATTCATCCTATTAAATATTAATATCGAAATGCACTTGACCATTGTGGCCCAATGACTAATGCCATTGAAAAAGTGCATATCTCTCTCCCTTGGGCGGGTTGTGCATATCTCTCTCCCTTGGGCGGGTTTCGAACTCGT